AAATGAAACTTGGACCTTAACGAAGTTGCCTGAAAACCGAACGCCCATCACCAGCAAGTGGGTGTTTCGGATCAAGCGTGGTTTTGACGGACAGCCCGAAAGGTATAAGGCTCGCTTGGTAGCACGAGGTTTTAGCCAACGGCGAGGCTTCGACTACAGTGAGACCTACTCACCTGTCGCGAAGTTGGATACCCTGCGTACCGTGTTGGCGATAGCCAATCGAGAAAATATGATCGTTCACCAGATGGACGTGAAGACGGCCTTCTTGAATGGAGAGCTTTCTGAGGAGATCTTCATGGTGCAGCCGGAAGGCTGATAACCTGGTATGCCGTCTGAAAAAGTGTTTGTATGGGTTGAAGCAGGCGTCGCGTGCGTGGAACGAGCGGTTCCATAGTTTTGTGAAGAACAGACTAAAGTTTGTGCGAAGCTTAAACGATCAGTGCTTATACATGTGGAAGTCCGATAAGGGAACAGTGATTATGGTGATTTACGTGGACGATATTGTAATCGCCGGTACGTCACTGTTACTGGTGAAGACGGTGAAAGATTGCCTGGCTCAAGAATTTGAAATGACTGACTGTGGGGAGATTAAGTGTTTCCTTGGAATGCGTATTGATTGCGACATGAAGAAAGGTGAAATACGAATTAGTCAGAGACAGTACCTCGAGGATATGTTGCGGCGGTTCAACATGGAAGACTGTAAGGCAGTTTCAACACCCATGGAAAATCGCTTGAAGCTTCCTCGTGGTGAAGACATGGATCGAACGACTCAACCTTTCAGAGAATTGATTGGGTGTTTGACCTATGCTACGTTGACAACCAGGCCGGACTTGGCAGCATCCGTTAACTTTTTCAGCCAATATCAGAGCTGCCCAACCGATGTCCACTGGGGGTATTTGAAACGAATTTTGCGCTACGTAAAGGGGTCACTGGATATGGGTCTAGCACAGACAAACAGACATAACACATTGAATATTTCTCACTGTAAAACATCGTCGCTAAAACATTACCGCCATCTGTTGAGTACACTGTGGTGGGTAGTACGCTGAACAGATGGCGGTAGTGTGTAAACGTCAAACGCAAGGGAATTGACTATGCACGCCACAGGTGGCGGTACTACCAACTACGATACTTTTAAATTGACCGTTAAATGCTTGTTCGATGAACAACTTGCGAGTGTTATGTCTGTTTGTCTGTGGGTCTAGTGTACAGGAGGAGTATTGAGGCAGCCACTATGGAAGTGTTTTCAGACGCAGACTGCGCCAATGACGTTTCGGATAGGCGTTCTGTTAGTGGTGCTGTATTCAAAGTGTTTGGTTGCACCGTATGCTGGATTACGCGGAAACAGCAAACTGTGTCTCTTTCTTCGACGGAGGCGGAACTGGCTGCGCTTTGCGTGGCAGCTTGCCATGAACAGTGGTTGGTACGGTTGTTACGAGATTTGGGGTACGATCCTGGAGAACCAATCGTATTCTACGAGGATAACCAATCTACGATGCGTATTGCGGAAGAATCGAAGGATTTCGGACGTATCAAACATGTAGATGTCAAGTTTCACTATGTACGAGACCTTGTGCGACAGAAGAGAATCAAACTTCAGTACGTTCCTTCAGCAGATCAACAAGCCGACATAATGACCAAGAGTCTTCCCGTGGCGGCTTTTCGGAAGCATTGCGCTGGCATTGGGCTAGCTAATTCCAATGGTTGAGCAGGGGTGTTAAGGAAGCAACATCTATCAGTAAGCAGCCCTATTTTTATTTCACGCAGTGTGCTTGAGGTGTTCACTTTATTATTACCGTTACTATCATTAGTGTATAAAACTAACTCTAAATACAAAACACGTTGTTCTTTTGCTCTCTTTAAATAATTCTCGATGAACATTTCAAATGGTCCTATCTGCTTTGATCGATTCTCTTCATCGACTTTCTCTTTTCATAACCACTGCTATGCAAACAGATTTCGCGCTAATTCTACCACATAGTTTGATAAAGGAGGTTCTTATCTAGCGTCCGAAACGTCAAATACAACAGGGAAAGGTTTTGCAGCTGAGTTATTAACGAAAGAGAAAGTCAATGAAGAGAATCGATCAAAGCAGATAGGACCATTTGAAATGTTCATCGAGAATTATTGTTTCGTGAGTTTCTTGTGTCCATCCGAAAACCATTTCAGGTGACACCTTCAAGTGACTAAAATGCTTCACTTTGAAGTTAGTTTCATAGCTGATTTTTAAATTACATAGGGTATATGCTTCAACTACGCTCACACGTTTCCACTATGTCGCACCACAAAAATACGTATGGTTATGTCACAATAGAAGCACACCACAGTGGAAATCCCGAGCCATAGTTCAAACACTTATCCCAAATCAAAATGAAGCACATATAAGATTAGTTGCAATACCATGTACAAAAATGGTGTTTAACATTGTTCCCTGAGTAATACCTCAATTAAAACAGCAACGAAAGCTTGTCACACAAGTAGAAGGAGTAATGTTGGGCACTTTCTCAAATATTTCAATAGTATAATTCCCTTGCAAACCCAAATAAATCTATCTGCGTAAAAATAAATAAAATAAGAGTGATTTGCGGCAAAACCCGCCAGTATCGCACCCAACGTCAGTGCCTATACGTAAGCGTACTACAACGTGGCTTTCAAACAAAGGAGTAACAAGTGTGATACTATCACTTAAGGCTAGAACTTTGGTTCTCTCATGCAATGGTTTATCAGAGAGGGGAAGCTCAGTAATCCTCATCGCATGCTCATGACGCTATTTTGTCACGGCATGAGCCAACGATGCCGGACCTAAACCAACCGTCTCCAACGCTCCGCTATGAAGCATAAGATTAGGCCCGCCCACTAGCCAAGGGGAGGGTGATCTAGTGTTTCAGGTTTTCAAGACTTTAGTGTTCGATACAAATACAAAACTAACCAACGCTTAATTTCTTGAAAGATATTATTGAGAATTATATGATTGATGTCTTTGAGTCGGGGGGCCCCTCCAACTTGGGGGTCCGGCTTTAGCCCAGCATCACTATATCGTTAATAAGGCAATGTGCGTGTATCTGAATAACTTTGCCGAACACAGCAATTACCCATTTGGTCAGTATCTCGAGATATAGCACATACTAAAAATTTACATAAACACTAGCACTCCGTTGGAAATGAATTTTAAACTAATATCTCCACCACCATTTGACAGGCATTAGCTACCTGTCCAAATTTGCCGAAGACTTCTCGATGAACATTTCAAATGGTCCTATCTGCTTTGATCGATTCTCTTCATCGACTTTCTCTTTTCATAACCACTGCTATGCAAACAGATTTCGCGCTAATTCTACCACATAGTTTGATAAAGGAGGTTCTTATCTAGCGTCCAAAACGTCAAATACAACAGGGAAAGGTTTTGCAGCTGAGTTATTAACGAAAGAGAAAGTCGATGAAGAGAATCGATCAAAGCAGATAGAACCATTTGAAATGTTCATCTAGACTTCTACTTTCTAAATGGCCTGAATCTCGAGATAAGCACATTATACTCACTTGATATGGGGAATCTTCAGTGACGACAGTGAATGATGATTTGAGATTATCGCTGCTGGTTATGTTGTTGGCTAATGTGTAACAATGATAATCACATTATCGTTACCAGAATTGTCCCTTGTGATTTGGTTAGTACTGATCATGAGTGTAAACAAAAATGGCAAATTAATTATCTTTATCGGAATCGGTGATTTTCATTCCCTGCGTAGAGCAGGTTAATATTTGAAATTCAAACGTTTGTCACACAGAAAGTGATTTGCATTCAAATCGATATTTATTACAAAAGGTAGACTGATGGCACTTAGTCAAGTCTGGTTTTAATACGACTAGATTGATTCCAGTTTAAATCGGCGCTAAATTTCCGTTCATCGGTTCATATAAGGGATCCGTTTTAGCATTGCAAGAAACATGCGCAAGTCATCAGGCCCTTGCTTCAATGTGACATAATTGTAAACCTTTTACGAACAGTTTTGTTTTTCGTGCTCGTAAAGTGTCAAAGTACATTATCTACATGTAAGAGGTCTCTTTCAAAAAAAAAAAAAATATTTGAACGTACAACGTACGTTTCGTGCCGTATCTACTACAAGTTGAGGAATAGGGTGCGTCAAGATTGTATGGTGGATCACAACCCCCTGTTCTCCACTGCTCTTCCGATGTGTATTGAGTTCCCCAACAACGATGTCTAAATTTAACGAATTTGGTAATGATCTGAATATACGGGAGAATTTAAAATTCTGTATGGGAAACGAAACGAACCTTTGCATTTACTTGCCAAAAATTCAAATATTGCTCAAATTTCACTAAATCTCGGAAATCGATTGGGAATACTATGAAAAACAACTTTGTCTAAGCCTGTCTAGACTTATGAGAAAAAAGTTACTATTATATTAATTTAGCCCTATTGCTCCGCACATATCTGTAGGTGTATATGAGGTTGTAGGTACGTGTGGAACACTTGGGCTAAAGTGAAAGATCAGTAACTTTTTATACAAAGATCACATCGATGTGCAGTCTTGGACAAAGTTGTTTTGTATAGTATTTTCAATCTAAGTCCAAGATCTGGTGAAATTTGATCAATGTTTATATTTTTGATAAGCAAATAAATATGATCGTTTTATTTACCATACATTTTCCCATACACAATTTTAGGTTCTCCGCAAATCGAGATTAAAACCAAATTTTTGAAATTTTTACACAGTTGTTGTGAACCTCAATAAGTATTGGGGAACAGGGGGTTGTAAAGTTGACCTACCCTATTGAGGAACCTATACCTATGTTACATTGTTACATGTTCATTAACCAGTTAGACAACGACCACAACCAGTTGGGGATGTACTATTGAAGTGTTAAACTCATCAGTTACTCATATTTCAGCTCGGAATCCACTAGCTAGGCAGTACAGAAAAGGGTTCCACTACACAATTCACACATTTTGTTCCCATATAGGCTGTGATGTCTAGGCGAGTAAACGCGTGTGATGGGCGCAAGACGAAAGTAATTGCACTAGGAGGATCATTAGCCTAAGCGTTTGCTGTCAGTGGATAGGATTCTCTCGGTATAGAATAAAGCAGCTTTGGTAATTAAGTGTTGATCTAATGATCTCTATTAACAACCTGCAAAACACCACAGCGTCGAAGCAACTCCGGGTGGGAACGTGTTTCCGATAGGAGATTGCGTATCTCGGTATTGTATCAGTATTGAGAAGTGTTTAAATCGTATAAAAATCTGGAAAAGAACAACAGTCGGACTGCAACGGTTAGAAGCGGCGCGTGCGCGAGTTGAAAATGAAACTGATAGCAAGTGCTTTTGTTGTGATTTTAAATTTAGTCGTGGTGTTGGCGGAGCTTGGTGAGTTTTTTACCATCTGAAATTCGAATCTGCAGCAACATGTGAGGTCCTTATGCTTTGGTCGAATTTCAGCACCGGTTTTGGAAGTGTGCAGCAAAAATGATCCCCAGTTGGCACAATGCATCATAAAGGTGGTTGACAAAATACGGCCAAACATCGCCAATGGAGATTACGGAGGTGGACGAATGGCTCCGAAACTGGATCCATTCTCCATCGAGAAGTTAGATATTGATCGTGGAGCAAGCTTTCGTGCCAAGATGCGGAATGTGATCATCGATGGACTAAGCAACTTTGTGATCAAGAAAATTCGGTAATTAGTGTGTTTAAAAGCCGCACCTGATTGCATTGGAAATCTTTGTTTGATATTAACAATTAAATTAATTTCGCAGTCCCGATTTGGAAAACAAACGCTTCCACATCATAGCAAAAATTCCCAACTGTTTTGTCCATGGAAAGTACGAGCTGAACATGAACATCCTCCTTTTGAAAATCGCCGGCAAAGGAGATTTCAATCTGACACTAGGTGACGAACTCTTTTCGTATGAAAATCACCCTCCATCTAATCGTAATCAAACTCTATCTATACTATCGCAGATGACACGTTGGTAAATCTCAAGGTCCAATACTATCTGGAACCGAAGGATGGCAAGTCCTACACAAAGTTCCATCCGGTCGATCTGAAGATCAAGTTTGACAAGGCGAAGTTCTACCTGAAGAATCTGTTCGGTGGAGATCCAGCTCTGGAGCAGATCGGTAATCAAGCAATCAACGCCAATCCCCACCTCTTGCTGGACGAGGTGAAACCAGCCATTCAGGAAAATTTGAAAATTTCGCTCACGAACATTTCCAATGCCGTGGTTGATGGGGCGGAGGAGGATGAGTTGCTTCCGGAGAAGAAACCATAATGTGAACCGTAATGCAAATCAGAATAACGTGAGCTGTGAACAGTCCAAAAAAAGTGTTTGTTAGAATGACCAAGTTTGTTTTTTAATGTTAATGGATTTGTGTTTAGAAATAAAGAAGTTGTTGTGAGGTGAAATATGATCATTTTCGATCAATTTTGACAAAAGAAACTGTCGGTGTCGATTCAACAGATATTGAGCCCATTTCGCATTAGAAATAATTAAATCAAACCGGTTGATGATTCTTAATTTTTGCTATAATTTTACTTACTTTTATAAATCTTTTTTTAATTTTTCGTCGCGTTCTGTCAGCGTCAGCTGCTCATTCTTCTTAATATTTATGATGAAAGCATTTCACAAATTAGTGCATGGTTTTTGACGCAGTTGACCAATGATGCCAGGGTTGCAGAATGATTTTTCTATTTTAATTTGGATTTCATTCGGAGTTTCTACCGCAGTTTAGCACCATTGCTTAACATAATAAAACAACCATAAACAAACAAGAATATCCATCGCTTTAAAACATGCCGTGCACTCCATTTTACAACTTTCCTTTTGCACATATAAACAATTAACAACGTCATTGACGCCAACATTGATGTGATGCCAGTTATGGTTGATATGATCCCTTTGTCCTTTTTATTCCACGATTGCTACTGTCAAATCGACCATCACCAACTGGCTCGGATTTAACGCAAATTGGCCCGTTCCAGATCCTAATAACTGTTGACCTGAATTTGAATTCAGCCCGATAATCAGCTTCATATTAGTGGTAGTAATGATTACTTTCAATGGTTGCATTGATTATATCATACGATTTTATCAGAAAAAAAAACAATCAAACCCTTATGATCTGAGATCACCCAAACACACCTACATATGCAAGGATCATTAGTGAGTCAACGTGTTTCAGAATTTCATTCTGTTCTAAGCGATGTTGTTTAACTTGAAAGTTGTTATTAGTTCCCACTGGCGTTGAGCTGAAATTCTTCTCACACGATGAATAATACGATAGCCTAATAATTGAGCAACTCTATGGCAAACGAGCAAGCGAACCAGCAAGAGCATCCCAGATTTGGTTAAACCTTGATTCATATTTGCGGTACTGGGGATCACGTGTTTCACATAGGTCGAGACCATTACGGCTCGATAATAATTGGGTGTGGGTACATTTGTCATTAATCATTGCTCGTTTTGCACATCTTGATAAATTTACCGTTGTAGATGGAGAATTATCAAAGTATTGAACCGGTTCGGATTGTTTTGACGTAGGACTACGACTTTGTGGACTATATTGGGGTGCAAATCTAAACAATGTGTGACGAAATTATGTGACGAAACATGGTCATTTATGAATGAAATTCAATTTGTATTGCACCATTTTATTCAGATTGAATGTAAGATTTATTTGACATAAAAATGATAGTTACTTATCAATAGTAAACCGTTGAAAATTGAAATTTTCAAACTCAAAATAAATTACATTTCATTTTAACCTAGGTGCTCCAGCTACTTCAGTAACTTACTAGCCTTAATTGTTATGATATACATCTAAGTGTTTTTACATTGTTCCTACCTTCAGTATTTTAAACAGGTTTTCTAAACCTGCATGTCAGAATAACAATTGACATCTTAAAACTAAAACTAAAACTAAATCTTATTCAAGTATAATGCGCATAAGTCTTACCATTCTCAATTCTATGTAGCACTGTACCAGGGAGGCAACTTCAAAATCATCTTCAGAACTTTATTCTGAATCCTTTGAAGTGCTGTTTAGTGCAACAACTGGACCATATTGGCACAGCGTAAACATGGCCAGTTTAAAACTTGTTTAAATATTAGAAGTTTATTCTTCAGGCAAAGTTTATTGTACATTGATCAAAGTTTTTAGCCTTAATCAACCAATCACGTGCTCGTTCGACAGAGTTTCCCGGACGAACCTGGATTTGACTTTCACCGCGCTGATTTTGAAAGATTATTTGAAGCGCTTCGCCACACTGACTGGCACATCCGCTGAAGATATTGACATTGCCGTAGGTTACTTTTTTTCCTTGATTTTTTTTCCGTCGATCTTGTTTTCCGTGCTACCAATGCTACCGACGCCAGGGAGGAAGCTCCCATACCTGGACCCTACCTATCGACCCATCAACTCATGAACCGGGGTCCAACGGCTTTTACTTCTAGCCTCAGAACATCCCGGCGGCGCCGACTGGGATTGAACCCAGGCCTGCTGGGGTGAGAGTTAATCACGCTTACCACTACACCACCGGCGCCGCTCTGTAGGTTACTTTACCAGTGTGTTGAAGAGTTGCTTGGGTGATTTTGTCCCACTGGGCAGGTCATCTACGAAACCACCTTGGGGAAATACATATTTACGACGGCTCAAACGCCAGTCTCCTTGTCTTTTTGGTAAGCAACATTTAGCACGTGCTAGTAGCAATTATCGTACATATAACCGTTATCTGAACAAACGTTACTGCAAACGAACTCTACGAAATCCACGCAGACATCCTCGACATTGTTGGAACTATCACCTCTTATTATAAAAAGGGGGAACCAAGATGAAAATATCATATGACAAATTGTCTCCTCCAATTATGATAAGAGGGGACCAAGGTGAAAATATAATTTGAAAAATTGTCCCCTTTCAATTATGATAAGGGGGGACCATGGTGAATATATCATAAGATAAATTGTCACTTCCAATTATGATAAGGGAGGACCAAGATGAAAATATCATATGAAAAATTGTCTCCTCCAATTATGAAAAGGGGGACCAAGATGAAAATATCATATGCCAAACTGTCCCCTTCAATTATGATACAGGGGGACCAAGGTGAAAACATCATATGAAAAATTGTTTCCTTCAATTATGATAAGGGGGGACCAAAGTGAAAATATTATATAAAAAATTGTCACTTCCAATTATGATAAGGGGAACCAAGGTGAAAATATCATAAGAAAAATTGTCACCTCCTATTATGATAAGGGGGACCATGCTGAAAATATTATATGAAAAATTTTCACCTCCAATTACCTCAAACTACCAAGATGAAAACATCATAAGAAAAATTGTCCCCTCCAATTATGATAAGGGGGGACCATAGTGAATATATCATAAGATAAATTGTCACCTCCAATTATGATAAGGGGGATCCAAGATCAAAATATCATACGACAAATTGTCTCCTCCAATTATGAAAAGGTGGAACCAAAGTGATAATGTCATTTGAAAAATTGTCACCTGCAATTATGATAAGGGGGACCACTGTGAAAATATCATATGAAAAATTGTCTCCTCCAATTATGAATATATCTTACATCTTATCTTATATAAAATATATCTTATCTTATATAAAATATATCTTATCTTATATAAAATATATCTTATCTTACATAAAATATCTTATGACAAATTGTCACTTCCAATTATGATAAGAGAGGACCAAGATGAAAATAACATATGAAAAATTGTCTCCTCCAATTATGATAAGGGGGACCAAGATGAAAATATCATATGCCAAACTGTCCCCTTCAATTGTGATAAAGAGGGACCAAGGTGAAAACATCATATGAAAAATTTTCTCCTCCAATTATGAAAAGGGGGGCCAAGATGAAAATGTCTTATGACAAATTGTCACTTCCAATTATCATAAGGGGGACCAAGATGAAATATCATATGCCAAACTGTCCCCTTCAATTATGATAAAGAGGGACCAAGGTGAAAACATCATATGAAAAATTGTCTCCTCCAATTATGAAAAGGGGGGACCAAGATGAAAATATCTTATGACAAATTGTCACTTCCAATTATCATAAGGGGGACCAAGATGAAATATCATATGCCAAACTGTCCCCTTCAATTATGATAAAGAGGGACCAAGGTGAAAACATCATATGAAAAATTGTCTCCTCCAATTATGATAAGGGGGGACCAAGGTGAAAATATCATATGACAAATTGTCACTTCCAATTATGATAAGGAGGCCACCAAGGTGAAAATATCATGTGACAAATTGTCACTTCCAATTATGATAACGGGGGGACCAAGATGAAAATATCATATGACAAATTTTCACTTCCAATTATGATAAGGGGGACCAAGATGAAAGTATCATAAGAAAAATTGTCCCCTCCAATTATGATAAGGGGGGACCATAGTGAATATATAATAAGATAAATTGTCACCTCCAGTTATGATAAGGGGGATCCAAGATCAAAATATCATACGACAAATTGTCTCCTCCAATTATGAAAAAGGGGAACCAAAGTGATAATATCATATGAAAAATTGTCACCTGCAATTATGAATATATCTTATATCTTATCTCATATAAAATATATCTTATCTTATATAAAATATATCTTATCTTACATAAAATATCTTATGACAAATTGTCACTTCCAATTATGATAAGGGAGGACCAAGATGAAAATATCTTATGACAATTTGTCACTTCCATTTATGATAAGATATGAAAATATAAGATATAAGATATAAGATGAAAATATCATATGCCAAACTGTCCCCTTCAATTATGATAAAGAGGGACCAAGGTGAAAACATCATATGAAAAATTGTTTCCTCCAATTATGATAAGAGGGGACCAAGATGAAAATATCATATGAAAATTGTCCCCTCCAATTATAAGGAAGAAAAGAGATGAAAATATTATAGGAAAATTATTATAAAATTGATTAAATTTTCACCTCCAATTATGATAAGGGGGACTAAGTTGCAAACATCATATGAAAAATGATCACTCCTCCTCAATTGTAAATTTTAACAATATCTCATCAATTTGTGAATCTTTATCATATATTCCATTACGTGTTGAAAGGTAAATCAATTTAGAAGCAATGTTTGATATAAATATTCCATTTTGTGTTCACAACCGTTCGAATTTTTTTTTTGTAAAGGTCGTTTTGTACTTGGTACGACTGAAATTAGATCTTAACACTATGGTGGAATATTTTGCATGCGTTTGTTTTATCACTATGGGCGGTGTAATTTCCTTCAGTGCTTAGTAAAAGTTAGCATCCTAAAATTCCTTCATTCATTTGGAGATGTAGATTCCTTCCTAGTATCAATTTTGGTTCTTTAGACCACGAGTTACACTTGTAGAATGCTTTAAAACTTCGATAAAACTTTCAATGTTACTTAGGATGTCTTTACAGGAGCACGTGAGCACTCATAAGGTGGCCCATATAAGATCAATCTGTTTGTCTGACAGAATCTGTAAGGCTCAATCGCGTTAGCTTTACCGAGCCGATAATTCACTGTTCTTTGTTTGTAACAAAATTCACTTAATTCTATGTCTAGTAGGAATTGGGCCGAATATTCGCGGCTTACTCGAGGTTAGAAAGGTACATTATCAAATGATAGCATCAGGGGAGGAGCTTGGGGGTAAGGTTTCGTTGTCGCCAGTATGAACGGTAGTGTGGCTCTAGATTCGGCTGGAGTTCGACCGGCTATGGTGACCAGTGGGCGACGATGAGACTCATCGAGACGGGGTCTGATAGAATCTGGATGAAGACAGAATGCAATTTTTCTCTTTTGAGAGTATAGTAATGGCTTATGCATTTTGGTCACAGTTTATATAAGAGAAGTGCATGTAGATTGATGTTTTCACGCTCAGTTGGTTTTGATAAAAATAAAAACTAATTGGGTTACTCCATGATCAGAAGTGACGTTTTCGTGCTCCAATTTATTGAAAAATGTCAAAGACGCCATTTTGCAAAAAAAAAACTACAAGGGGTTGTACGCGGTCTTATATAATAAATCTTATTTGTTAACTACAGCAGGAGCTGGTTTTTTGTGTAGGAATTCGAGTGGATTTCTCTCTATTTATACTCTATAGTATGACGCGCTTGACATGGCCCACAGCTTCTCACGAAGAGCTACTGATTCCGATCAATAGCGATGCGGCTTCTTCTTCCTCTATGGATGCTCATGTGGGCTGCAGCTCGCTGCCTGCAGGCAGCCTATTGTTGTGTACTGGAAAAACACCACCACTCACCACGCGGTGATTGAATAAACACCGTTTGGTGACACCGGATAGAATTCAACTTTGAAATCCGTGTTAGGGAAAATAGCTCTTCGCAGACAATCTGTGATAATTTTAATTATCATAGCAACAGTTGCACATTCGTGCAATTTTTAATAGTGACATTTTGAAAATTATAAAGTTTTAAGTTTAACAGTTTCGTAGAAAATAATCCTATCGATTGACGTATTAAGAACTTAAATCCATCATCTCTGGATCAAAATCAGACCACTGTTATGCCACGACCGACTTTGGTTTTTGAAATTGCACCCCCAATGTTGCCTTAAAGTACATGTTATGTTAGATTTAAACATATCTAGATAGAGCTGGAATTAGGCGTAACAGCTTTTGTAAACAATGACTTCTCTCGATGAGTTTTAGGAATTTAAGGCACGCCCACGCAAACCAACATTACCGTCGGGTAGGTGAAGTCTTACCCTACCTGGTGATGATATAAAATTTGTGTGGGCGAGCCTTAACTTTCAAGAATTCCAGCTCTCTTGATATGAGAATTGACATCCGATTGAAAATATTATAATACTCTTTTACAAATTTATGGTGGTCCTGAAAAGGACCGTTTTGTCGTGATGATTGAGTAGTGCTGGTGTTATTATGGTGTGAAACTCAGATGAGGCTGGTGAGCTGTATGTTGATTGGAATGAGGGTGACGCGATTGGCATAGATGGTCCACAGCGACTCACGAAGAGCTACTGATTCCGATCAATAGCGGTACGGGTACTTTCTCCTTCTATGGATGCTCATGTGGGCTGCAGCTCGCTGCTTGCAGGCAGCCTTTCGTTGTGTACTGGAGAACAATGACGACCGGACACCACCACACACGGTGATTGGAACTGAATCCGATCAGTGGTTGAAGGCAGCCTTGATAGCTATCTGCTTGCCGGGAGCCTTTCGTTGTTAACTGGAGAACACCACCACTCACCACGCGGTTATTGAATTAACCACGAAACGGGATGGAATTCAACTTAGAAATCTGTGTTAGGGAAATCGCTTCTCGCAGGCAATTGGTGATAATTTTAATTATAATAGCAACAGCTGCAGATTCGTGAAGTTTCCAATAGTGACAATTTGAAAATGATAAAGTTCTAGATGCGTAGAAATATTTCCAACCGATTGCTGATAAAATTATTGAAATTGGGCCAAGGACAGCTGAGTTATTAACGTTCAAAATCTTTCATAATTTTGTTACATGTTTCATTTTCGGTTTTTTACAGAATGTACCCCCATATAGAAATCACAGATGTAGTCCTATGTGAAAAAACAAGATTCAAAATGGCAGAATTTTAGCAAAAATGTGAATGATTGCCCAAAACGTTTCATGAAAATCGGAGAAAGTCGAGTCAAACATCAAATTTTGTTTTGTTCTTTGGCCTGGAACTGCTCTGTGCAGAACTCCTCCGAAGAGAGCGGTTTACCCAAGCAACACTCATGTTCAATAGAGGTTTATATAAGCTTTGTATGACTGGATTTGGCTGTATAGCAGTTTACTCAACACAATTCTATGAATTTGTGTTAAATACTTGGGTAGCTGCTGTCCTACAACCAACTGAGCTGGCATTCTAAAGGTTGCTTGTTTATGACTATTAACTCTATCAACATGGGGACCATAGCCATATATCTGAACGTGTAAAATGGGTATAGAAAAAAATAATAAGAGTAAATTGTGAGTAGGGTATAAAGAGTGAAGATTTGAGACATATTTACAGTTTCGCAAAGTTCAACATCCTGAGATTTTACTTACATACGCATACACATATCAATCCAAAACAAACAAGAATTGTAGTAATGCTTGTAAATTTATTTTCATGACTTCAATGCTATAAACAAATATCTATGGCACATTGTTCATGCTAAAAACCTTCCACAAGAGCTCTTCCAGTTATCCATGGTAGACTGATGAATTAGCAGCAGCTTTGTTTGAATTTCTTTGGCCGAGTTGTTGCGTATCAAGAGCATTTTTTGGATGTAATGGAAAATAATTATACCTAACCGGATTTATTTCACTCAATTATGCTCATCTCAATCATTCTTATCCGGTCTTCAGAAAGGCCAAACCACTGACGTATCGAAGCAATGGAATATTTTTCTCTTAGTCTAGCGATTTAATTAACAAGCAAACCATGTGGGGCGGGCTAAAAAGAAACATTACGCAGAATTATATGCTCTACTGGCGATAAACGTTGTATTCTGGAGATTCATTACTCTTTTTTTTTTGTTTCGCAGGCCTAAATGGTGTTGGTGGCAACAACTCCTTTTTTGCAACCATCGCAAAATTTTACTGCTTGTTCTGTAGATTCCGTTAGTATAAAAGATCAACTCAGGATGATCTTTGTCGCATTTAGTGACATTAGTTGAAGAAAAGTGGAACGGTGTTAAAACTAAAAAGAAGATGTTAGGATTTGCGTTACTGTTAGTGTTAGGTTGCGTAAACGGTTACATACGTATGTATTAAACAGTTGCTTTCAATTTGGAATAGTTTTCGGACTGTTAAATTGTTTTGTTATTGCAGCTCCATCCATCAGCATTTGTAACCGCGATGATCTCAATCTGGACAAGTGTGTGCTGGCGGTAGTGCAAAAAATGCGATCCAATCTCGTATCTGGAGACTATGGTAATGGTACCAAGTTGCCCAGCTTGGATCCGGCGTTCGTCGATCGGTTAGTCATTGACGATGGAGCAAACCTGCAAGCCACGTTCCGAAATTTAATCGTGTCAGGTACCAAGAACTTCCACGTAGATAAGATGCGGTAAGCTATTAATGGTGAGTTAGTCAAACTTTAATGGAACTAACACACGTTCTTTTTAGCGTCAATGTCGAAAGCAAAACTTTCAACATGTTGGTCACTTTGGATAAGGTGCAGTTAAAGGGAAAATATAACATGAAGATGAGGCTTGCGTTGCTTTTGATCGATGGAGATGGTGACTCAACATTGGATATAAGTATGGTGCTTAAGTGATCTTTGACTCAAAAAAAATCACATCTAACGATCCATTTCAGATGACGTTAAGCTACTGCTAAAGATAAAATACTTCTTCGCGGAAAACGATGACGGTAAGAAGACGATGCGCTTCCATCCGATTGATGTGAAAATCAAATTTGCCGGTGATGCCAAATTCCACATGACGAACCTTCTGAAGGGTAAACCACGCCTAGCGCAAGCTGCCAACGATGCCATCAACGAAAGCCCTGAACTGCTCCTGGAGAAGGGTAGACCGGCGGTAGAACAATTCTTTTCCAAACTGTTCACTTCGATCGCTAATGGACTGATGAAAGAAGCGGACGAAGAGGAAGCTTTTCCACGGTGATGGGCTGATCTGTTGTTGTTTTGGATTGTAATCCAAAAAGCAGGAACAGAACATCTCTACTCTTTATAACTTAAATTTTATTGTCTATTCAATACACAACAAACCATTTATGTACATTAGAAGCAATATAAAAAAATCTATAGTTTTTGTGATGATGTTATTACGTCTTCTCAAGTATGTGGATCGTAGCAATTAGCACCGTAAACAAGAGTGTAGAATTGGAAGATAAAAATCAAAAGCGTAGCCAGGTTTTGAAATGGATGGGATAAATTGTGTAATAGGGGAAAAGTTGGCTTCCGCAATACCTTAACCTATTATCGTCAGGGGGTAAACAACGTCCTTGAGAGCTCAATTTTGGCATGTGGATACATTGTGTTTCAGAGCAACTTTTGGCCAACTTTGAGTGCTCTAGGACTTTGTTTAACCCCCTGACGATAATAGATTAAGGTATTGCCGAAGCCAACTTTTCCCCTAGATCATTAGACCGAAGTCATCACTACTGTGTTACCTGACTTATAACAAATATACGTTATATACGGGGGTACTCGACTCGTCTAATTTTGCATAGCATTTGCAATGTAAAATTAGACGAACTATACGTTGTATTCGGGGTACTCGTATACAACGTATATTCGTTATAGGTCAGGTAGCACAGTAGCTCAAATGGGCCATTCATCAACAAATGGATTAAGTAATAGGGTGGTTCAAATACCGATAAAAAAATATCAATCCACAAAATCGATGCGACGAAGAGACCGCTAGTTTTATTTTTTTTGTTGAAGTCGAGCAGCTTCGCATCATCCTAGCCTCTATAGGCGTCTACACACATATTTTCAATCGTTTGTTTTTCTTTCTCCCATCACTTCATTCGTGTTTTTTCAAGCTTCGATGAAGCGGACGAGTGAAAGAGTCCTTGACATTGCTCAGTTCGTCTTTCGTGAGACCCATCAACCAGTGCTGAGATTTGTCATTGTCATTGACAGACTTTTGCGCGATATTGACAAAATTGTTTTTCACATAGTCAATGATAGACTTGATCCTCAAAAAAATCTTTGTCAAAATCTCATTCATTTTTTCGTCAATGACAAAGATTCACCTGGTAACAGAAAGTGTAATTTCTTGCATTCTGAGACACATTATTGTTATTCAAGCGGTTCAGGACGTAGATGCTTATTCACTTTAATGGCTCCATGTAATTGTTTTGCTCAAGCCATTTAATTTCATTTCAAATTTAGCTAATAAACAAATCAGCACATGTTCGTCACTGACAAAAATGCTACTGACAATTGACATGGTTTGCCTTGACGATGACTGTTAGCTCAAACGAGTGACCAAAGCAGAATTTTGAGTATCACCGTGTATTGTCGAAATTTTGCAGCACTGCCATCAACCGATGTTTCGTGACGTAGGGTAGATAACTACTTCGGCTTAATCGTCCATTTTGGGTCTATCGACCAGAAAACATCAAACAAATCCATGATTTCAGCGTTAGCAAGTCAATTATGCGTTTGGTGCGACACTTTAGTTTTAAATCTACCGAACGAAGTCAATGAGATCGCGTGATATGAATGTTTGCACCCATTATCCCGAAAACAAAAGAAGCGCTCTGACCGAATCAATTTTTACCTTCATTGGGTAGGCCGAAGTGAATTCAATGCCGTTTGAATGGCATTTCTATGCGTTAGGCCGAATTTAGAATCCGTAGGCAGAGTTTGGGGTCAATGAGCAGTGTTAGATTTTTAACAATATCTCAACAATTTACGTACGTACGGAAAGGTAAATCATTTTAAACGTCATCGACAGTGAAAAAATTCCATTTGTGAAAAACAATCGTTTTGAAAAATACAGGCAAAGGGCGGGTTAGATCTTAGTCCTATATGACTGAAAATGTAAATATATATTTAAAGCATTTCGCTCATGTAAGATTATACGTATAAAACATAAAATTAACAAAAAAAAAAAGGCATTGCAAAAATATATTTATTTGTACTAAAAGTTGATGCTCTCCGACTCATTTTGCTAAATAAATTCCCTAAGTTTTACAGGTTTTTTTTTCGGAACTTCAACGGATTATTTCCAGGTTTTCAAAGTAACTTTTTTTTAAACGTTAAAATATACCATTTCGGCTAAAACAATAACTCAATTACCCAAACGTTTTTTTTTTTTCATTGTGTATGTGACCTTTTCGTTGGTAACCCTTAAATTTACAATTACACCATAAGGCGATCCATGAGACGTTTCGCAGTTGACCTGACAGCCAAAAAGCTGTGAGTGTGTAAATAATCAGATGTTGTCGATGCAAGATGTAAATATAAACAAAGCTATTTTCAATGGGAAAGATATGTCAGTTCAACTGTGAACTGTCAAAACTTCTCGGCAAACAAAAAAATCAGCTGACTGCAGCTGTCTCATGGAATGTCTTATTGGAGATCTTGACAACTCAGACTTCTGAACTTCAGTTTAGTGGAGGCGCATCAATAACTTACATGTCATTAACAGTTTTAAAAGAACAGCTTTTTAATAAAAGCTATTTAAAGTTAAAATTTAAGACTAGTTTAACAAATTGAAAAATATTTACTTTAAATTATTTGCATTATGATGGTGGAACACGAAACAGTCCGAACACAATAAAAACGCTGTCATTAAGGCAGTCTTTTAGTAATTTTTCAATATTTCTCTGAATCAAGATAAGAGTGTATCTAATAATAGTAGGCGTTGGTTGTCTGGATAAGTTCGTTTGTTTACATCATTGCTTCACAGGCTACTACTACTACTACTACTACTACTACTACTACTACTACTACTACTACTACTACTACTACTACTACTACTACTACTACTACTACTACTACTACTACTACTACTACTACTACTACTACTACTACTACTACTACTACTACTACTACTACTACTACTACTACTACTACTACTACTACTACTACTACTACTACTACTACTACTACTACTACTACTACTACTACTACTACTACTACTACTACTACTACTACTACTACTACTACTACTACTACTACTACTACTACTACTACTACTACTACTACTACTACTACTACTACTACTACTACTACTACTACTACTACTACTACTACTACTACTACTACTACTACTACTACTACTACTACTACTACTACTACTACTACTACTACTACTACTACTACTACTACTACTACTACTACTACTACTACTACTACTACTACTACTACTACCATAGAGGTAACTCTAAGACCACTGGGTCCCGAAGAAAATCATTATTATTTTTGGCTCACTCAGTACCAGAACAACGGTCCCAACCAGTCCCAAGCTATTTCACTCACCCCTGCATGTTCTGCATGAATCCACACACCCCTGATGTTATCTGTCAAACTTTCATAGCGAATCAAAACAAACATAGTGTAGTAATAGAATTTCAACTAGAATAGGGTACGTTAATCGTTTGCTTGGGACCAATAGGCTCCTAAAGTGGTGAGCCAATTTAAAATCGTTAGTTTCGTATTGATTGTTGCTACTACTACTACTACTACTACTACTACTACTACTACTCACGTGTCTATCAGCACTGGTGTGTATAGTGTTGTACAGATCAGAAGTTCATTTATTGGAACAAAGTATGCAAATATTAATTCTCCTCCGAACACCTCGGTTGACCGCCCAAGTAACATTTTGGGTTTTATGAGGGTTCTGTAGACCATGATTTAAACTTGTACAGTGCTTTAAAACCTTAACAAAACTTACAATGTTACTTGGGTGGAATGTAAAATCAAAAATAAATCGAAATTCCTCAAAAAGCTCCTTGTCTAGCAAAACAGTTGTGGGCTGAAAAGCGAAACTTTCGTTACTTCAGGGACCATGAACCAGCAAATTTACCAGGAGGAGTGCCTACGGAAGAGATTACTACCTTTTCTGGAGCAGCATGAGGTGGATTGCCAATTCTGGCCGGACTTGGCTGCCACTATTCAAATTCCATCAAAAAGTGTTGCAGCAAGGGGTAATCAACTCTGCACACTGTGCCGAAACACATCATGGCACACTGCTCGGCACCCTAGGACACAAATTGACAAGAATGACACAGAATATATTATAAAACGGCATCACTGTTTTTTTGCTGACGATTTTCCAATACTTGCTAAGGTTTTGCGCTTTGTTGACAGTCGCTGATCTTCGCTTCAGGATGAATTTAATAAATCCATCGGACTAGACGATCATATCCCGGATTAGAAGTCAAACCTATAGGACTTTGCTCGGATCTCTCCTGCAGAAAGTACAGTAAAGTACGTCTAATTCCCTTCAAGAGTTGTTAAAGTGTGGTAATAAATAGCAGCGCCAAGATCGTAGCCAGAACAGCAATAACTAAATCACCCTCAGGTTCATCCACTTTTGCAACCAACGTGATTGCAACAGTTGCTTGTCGTTTACGGTAGCGACAATATCGGTAATCACGGTTTACATGGGTCAATTCCATAGCGTCATACAAATCATGCTCCTCGGATGAGTGATATTCATAGCCACCGGTAGCTCACCCTGTTTAAGTAATCAGGATTCGTTCAATAAATGTTGATACCCTATTTAATTATTTATGTTATGGTCAACAGGTAAAATATTCACCCCAACGGCAGTATACTTATTCTAGACTAATTAACATAAAATACTCTTGATATTGCACTTATTTCTAAAACGGGAAACATTGAAGTAAAATACATTGTAGCATATGTTGGAGGATGTAACAACATATAACATTGTTATATGTTGTTACATCCTCCGCATGGGCTCATTACATCCGTAGTTGGTTCGTGAGAGGCGGTTGTTCAGGAAAGCATGCGATCGTAGATTACGGCGGCGGGTATTGATGTCGATACTACTCAGCAGTGTATAACAGTCAATGTTTCCCTGAAGAAGATCGGCATGCACCCAGGCTACAATCAGTCGTCTTGGAACAATTTCGTTTTCTTGCACAATCACAAATAAACAATCACAAAAGTCATTAAATC